ACTAAATTTGCTTGACTTAAAAATAATATGCACTACTTGTGTTAATGACTTGAATTATATAATAAAGACAATATTGAGGTTCAATAGACATCCATGTATTAGTTTCCATCGTTACTAATTGGGTTAGGTATACCAAATAATTACTTATTGCTACATAAAATGGTAATAAAATTTTTAGGCAGCAAGATAGTGCTGATTTTGTAGTATTATTTATTGGGAGTTTGTAAATTCCAGACAAACAGGAATCGCTTCACGATCCGATTCCTAGATTTCCAGTGGGGAACCGTGACTAGTGGAGTGTAACTATGTTGGGTATGAAAAAGTTAAACACCACTGGCTATAGATGAAGGCTGAGAAATATCGGAAATTAACTAATGCTAGACTAACACCGGCTAGATGGCCTTTATTTATTTGAACATAAAAATTGGTACAAAGGGGCGCCGAATATATATGTGCGCCACACAAGTCACTTGATTTTTGTGTGGGCTATGATACTGCTCGGGTGCCCAAACCGAAGCAGGTGGTTTTCTTAGGAAGCCACACCCGGAGCCTTTAATCTACAGGTCTAATTCATAAGGCAGTGGAGCAACGTCAGGAGATGCAGTACCATGGTAGCAGGTGACCAACAATAAATTCATATACCTTTTGTTCACTTAGGATCCTGGAGTCACGGGCTTGGAATCAGGATTTTCCGACTCCCCTAGGTGGATGCTCTATATTCATTAGCCTCGTTAAGGCGCCGGACATTTGCTTTTCGTCCTCCCAATTTCGTGAACAACACCCTTGCCACAGGAGGTCAGTGAGTAGGACTTCCTTGTTAATGGCTGTATACGCGTGGCCATGTGAGATTATTTCGAGAGGGAGAGCTAACTCTCCCCACCCTTGGCCGTACCAGGGCATTTAGGGGCACTAGGTGGCCTTGTGTTTAAGCGTTCCAGCGCGAGACCGAATGACCTTGACTTCGGTCCCCTGTAGTGGATTCGCCGGTGTGCATTACTAAGTTACCTTATACTGGGACGAATCAGTCGCCTAATGTTTTGAGGTGTTCAGCTATGGTTTTACTAAGATCAGTTCGTGACTGAAACTATGAAAAATCCATATATTGTTGCTTCAAATAAGTGTTCGTGATTTTTATTAAGGACCATATTTGATGTCTTTATTGTTTGTCCATTCTGGGTGGGTACCCTAGACATCATCGTTTAGTTATACGTTTGTCCAAGTTACATTTTGACATCAGTTATGTAAAGATAAAGAAATAATTAAGACAAGAGTGATAGATCATTAGTAAATTGTTTTGATTTACTAAATACGATGTTGGGTTAACTGTTTAATTATATTAATTGTCAAGAAAATAAATACTATTGTACAAATTTCCCTTGAATATGGATGAGTAGTTGGTGTAAACAAATTTATATGAATGAGTGTAATTCAGTACTGTACACACGTATGTCAGTTAAATGATAAAATGTTACAGTATGCTATAAACAACTTTAAACGCTTTACTTAAATCAATCATGATGTTCACCTACTGAATGAAGCAGTCTATTGATCACTGAATTAGTATCCTTGATTTACTTTAATACACTTATTTATTAAGTATTTTTATTCAACGAAATCTTAGTACTTAATACAAATTTATGATTTGATTTAGTGCGAACCACTGATACTATTAATAAATTAGTTGAAATCATGAGTCAATTGAAGCTAGATCACCATGGAAAACCTGGAAGCACTGGACTGCCGTTTTGTCCTAGCATGAGACTACTCAGAGGTGCGCATATACGGTCCCACCTCCCACGAGACTCGAACCCAGGACTTATCAGTCTCGCGCGTGAGAGGTTAATCATTAGACTACTTAGTCGGCATCCAACAGTGTTAATGTCTAACTCCAACCAATCCACGAAATTGCGCGACCGTCCACCATTGTCTTCAGTGAGTTGATATATCACAACAGACCTGGTTGAACTCCACTGGTAACGGCTTCTCACTAGAACTCCAGGAAATGCCTCTTGAAGTCAGTCACTAGTGAGATGATTATTATCAGAAGGGGTTTTGTGGGGCGCTCGTACGCGAGTCTGATAGGTCCTGGGTTCGAGTTCCGTGCAGGTGGGATCGTTGATGCACACCGTTGAGGAGTCCGATACTAGGACGGAACGGCCGTTCAGTGTTTCCAAGTTTTCCATGGTGATCTAGCTTCAATTGACTCATGATTTCAACCACTGAAGTTACTAAAATCTCTACAAAACCCCTTCTGATATTGATAAGTTATTGTTCTGTATAGACTTTCGTTCAAAATGTAATATTTAGTTCTATAGCAGACTAAAGAGTGGGTAAAAACGAGAGTAATTAAGAAAGCAGAAATTGTTAGCCAGATAAAAATGTATTCTATGTCTTCATGCTTTTTATGTACCATAAATAATGGCGTGATGGGCATCATAAACATTTTATTCACGAAATTGTTATAGTTAATTAAACTTCATTAAAAACACTGATATGTCCCATAGCATTTAGTGACCTGTTTCACATATAACTTACAAAAATGCCTGCATTACACTAGAAACTAGACTTATTGTGTTATAATTACCACTTTTCTACGACATAATCTTGAGTGATGGCTACGGAAGTTGAAGAAGACTAATAGCATTCAACTGTAAGTCTGCTATATTTTTGTCTTCTGTTACTTTAATTGGAAAATGAGGAACCATTACAATTCAAACGACACGAAAGAGTGGTACACGTGGCAGTGATGAGACTATATGTTTCTAGATTAACCAATGAAATTAAAGATAGCAGGTCTTGGGTTTCGGTGTAGTGTTCACTAATTCATGCAGTAAAATAGCATTTTAACACTATAGCTAATGTCAGATCAGGATGAAAACCCTAATTCTAATTCTTAACCCCAACTTCTAATTCTCAATCCTAATTCTTCACACGAAATCATCTTGGAGTCACTCATAAAGTATAAACTTGTCGTGAAAATTTATTCCCTGCAAAACATAAAGACAACTGAAGTCGAAAATGCACTAAGCTATATATTGATTTATACACCGATTTAATTATTAATTAACAAAACATTACATATATAAAATTATAGAAAAATAAACCTGTATGCTGCATGTTATACTAAGTATAGTTCATGTTAATTGAAAATCGGAACAAGTATTCATTTAGAAGACTTATCAGGATTAGTTTATTTGGGTTTTGATTCTCTCAAATTTTTAGGAAATAGATTAATAATGCATGTATGAAGTTGTAAAGAGATTAATGCCTATCATGTAACTATGCAGTTATTTTTTGAATTATTGAGAAAGATTACACTGGCTTCATGATGACACAAAGTAAACCAGAATGATAAACTTAATTCAGAAGAATATTTTAAGAAAATGTTCATTAAACGTTTATCTAAATGTATGATCTATTATTGTATAATGATTAAACAATTTAATAACAATTCAAAATGTTACAGTGTCAATGTAAGACAAGGTAGTTGTTTAAACTGGGAATTTCGAATAAACCGTAAACATACTATTCTTAGGATCTTAATTTTTTCTTTATTATACTATACCTAATTGTTTACTTTTGATGAGAGTTTTTTCTTAATACTCATCATATTTACCTTGATTTATAAGTGGGTTTTGTTAGAATTTATTGCAGACTAAACATATATATATCTGTCCTATCTAATAATAAACTATAGTTGCTGTTTCTTATTGCCTTCTAATTTGAAACGGCTTTAAAATTTATATAATAACAATTACAAGAGTGATTGATTAACAAAGCAAAGCCATTAAAAAAAGATATATTTCTCTATGGAGTTAAATGTTTTCATCCTTTCATATATTCACTAATTATTCATTTAAAATGACAATAATTGTAAAATAATACGATTTAAAAGTTTATCTGTAGTAATTCTATCATTTATGTACTGAGAAAATAAATTCACACATAGAATTAATTATTTTTATTGAACTGCACTTAATTAAAAATTTCACCTTCAATGGCCATAAATCATTTAAAGACTAACTTTAAACCTTGACTCAATAAATTTACTCTAGAATAATATAAATCTTTTTTTCAATTTAGTACATAATGTATACGGAGACCACCAATCCAATCACACTTGATGGCGAAATTCTGGAAGATGTAGAATCCTTCACATAATTAGGAAACACCAATGATGAACAAGCAGGATCAGATGCAGATGTACAGGCGAGGATTGGCAAAGCAAAGACAGCATTCCTACAATTGAACAAAATATGGAACTCAAAACAACTGTCAACCAATATGAAAGTCACAATCTTCAATACGAACGTCAAGGCAGTTGTACTGTATGGAGCTGAAACTTGGAGAACTACTACAATCATCATCAAGAAGATACAAGTATTTATAAATAGTTGTCTACGTAAGATAATCAACATCCTTTGACCGGATACCATCAGTAACAGCCTACTGTGGGAGAGAACAAACCCGCATCCAGCTGAAGAGGAAATTAGGAGAAAACGATGGAAATGGATAGGACACACATTACGCAAATCATCAAAGTACATCACGAGGCAACCTCTAACTTGGAATCCTGAAGGAAATCGGAAAAGAGGAAGGCTAAAGAACACATTACGTCAGGAAATAGAATCAGATATGAAGAGAATGAATAAGAAGTGTAAAGAACTTGAAATGATTGTTCAGGAGACAGTTGGATGGAGAATGTTGGTAAGCAGCTTATGCTCATTCACGAGGAGTAACAGGCGTAACTAACTAACTAAGTAAGTACATAATGTTTATTGTCAAAATACATTCTAACACATTTTTAATTTAGTTTATCGAAATATTCATTTTATACAAGCAAATTTAATATTAAGTGCATAAAATTGTGTAAATCAATATTTTAATTTCATTGGTTAGTTATTTCAGCCAATCAACTAACAGAATTACTTAATACTATTTATGTATATATAGTTATTTTCAATATTATCAATTTTATATATTTGAAAATGTCTATTCAAATGAGAAAATTTACAAAATTAATTGATAATTATGGTAGAATTCATAATTATTTACGTATATCATTAACTGGAAAGTGTAATTTAAATTGTAAGTTCAAATAAATTTACATTTACTAAATTTTTTTAAAAAACAAAACAAAACCCCCTTTTCAATTAGGTTTATATTGTATGCCAAAAAAATCTTTACAAAATAATGAAATAATATTATCAAATATAATAACATCTAATGAAATATTATTTCTTGCTAATTATTTTTGTTATCGTGGTATAAGAAAAATTCGTTTAACTGGTGGTGAACCATTATTACGATCAGATTTACTTCAAATTATAAGTTTGATATAATTATAATTATATTAATTAACTTTTTTTGTTTTTTCTATAAAAATTAATAATAAAAGAAGATTTAAATGATTTAAAATATCAACATAAACATTTTACTGAAATAGGAATAACTACAAATGGTGTGAAATTTAAAAAATATGCTAAAAATTTAATATTAAATGGATTAAATTCAGTGAATATTAGTTTAGATAGTTTAAAATCAGAAAAAAATTTAAAATTAACAGGACAATCTACATTTAAACAATCAATGGCAGCTATAATTAAAGCAATTGAAATTGGATTTAAAACTGTTAAGGTATGTAATTTGTTTATTTTATTTTATTTATTTTGATGTGCGTCTATAAATATATATACCATTAATACATAATTGTATGTTGAGTGAATTTTGATCATGGAATTATATCGTTTAGGGAACTATAGATAAATTTCATACTGAATTAGTCTGTCTTTGGAATATCACATTTAACATATCTGAATCGCTGTATCTATGTTTTATTTTATTTATTTTAACACATAAATATCGGTACAAGAAGGCACCAAATACATATGCGCCACACATATCTCATTTGATATGTGTGAGGTCTGTGATACTGCCCGGGTGCCCAAACCGAAGCAGGTGGTTTGCTTAGGGGGCCACAACCCGAGCCTTCGACCTGAAGATCTGATCCACAAGGTAGTGGAGCATCGTGAGGAGATGCAGTCCCATGGAAGCCGGTGACCAACGATTGGTTCATACGCCATTTGTTCCTTCAGGATACTGGAGCCCATGTGCACCATATAATTGGGATCCGGTTAAAGCGCCGGACATTCGCTTTTCGTCCTCTCATTTTCGTAAACAACACCCGTGGTGCGAGAAGGCAGTGAGTAGGACTTCCCTGGCAGAGGCTGTATACACGTGGCCATGTGAGAGCATTTCGAGAGGTTGAGCGGACTCCCTCCACTCTCGGCCGTACCAGGGCATTTGGGGGCGCTGTATCTATGTGCGATAATCTTGATCATAATAATAATAATAATAATAATAATAATAATAATAATAATGGTCTTATTCAATACAATATGCTTGAATACAATAGAGAATTTTTAGCCAATATTTCAAAATACTGTTACAAAGCTTTAGTCAAGGTTTCCTATCGACTATCTTCAACTACCCAATGTTATTAGCTTTCTATAAAAGCACATAACGAATTAGTTCAATGGTTACCGCATTAGAATAGTTTGGAACTAAGTAATTTGGATGTGAATGTGATGATTATTTTTTCATATTCCATCTTCCATAAACAGTTATTCATTATTATTAAGAAGTGTTTTTTTTTACTCCAAATTACCTAGGGTTAACTAATATCACAAGATTTCTTAAACGCTAAGATAGAAAGAATTAAATGTGAACTTGTTTCAGTTCAGTAGTTTTACGCGCTTACTTAGGACTGTTACTTTTCGGGGAGTAAAAGCCATCGACTAGGGATCTCTAACCAAGTCAGTCTGGGGCTCTCCTTCTCGGTTGCTTTTATTTGTTATTTATTATTTTGACATCTGTCTCCAATTCCTGACTCAGTGTGTTCTTAGGTATACTTTTCTTTTTACATTCAGGATTCCAAGTTAGGGTTTGTTTCGTGATTTATTGTCATGCTTTGCGCGATGTATATCCTATCCACCTCTAGAATATTTTCAGAATTTTCTTGTCAGCTGGAAGTTTGTTTGTTCCCTTCTCCATTAAATTTTTGATGACGATATCGAGTACTCCCTAACTTTCAGTGGTTGTCTAATCAGTGTGATATTATTATGATATTACCCTCAAATGATACAAAGTCTTCCCAAAACCACCAAAGGTTTCTTTATCTTTTTTGGTTGAGATCATGAACAGATTGATGTAAGACCACTATTGAAAGCCTAAAAGCACTGGACGGCCTTTTCGTCTTATTTTGGGACTCCTCAGCAGTGCGCACCCGGGTTTTCAATGGTGGCCTAAGATCAATCGGTTCATGATCTCATTTAAAAATCTTGATAATCTCCACAACCCTATACTGATAATTTCTTTATCTGTATTATTTATAGGTTAATTGCGTAGTTATGAAAGATTTCAATGAAGATGAATTATGCGATTTTGTTGAACTGACACGATATTTGGTAAGTGTATGTTTGTATAGATTAAATTTCATTTCTCAGCATAGTTTAATTAAATGGTTTGTAAGAACTATTAGTTTCATAAATTGATAATCGTATCACAAATTTGTATTCAGAGATAAATGGTGACTAGCAAAAAAGCCCAGGACAAGATTTTCGTCCTGTGTGGACCTGTCGGCTTGATGTGACTGGACTACATAATTGTTGTTTACTTCATAGCTTGATCCCTGTATCACTCACTTTAAATACCATAACTTAATCTAATTAGTTACTGGGTCCAGATGGACTCTGGCTTGTGCATTGGGATGAAGTCTAATCTATTTATATTGGTTGTTTGAATTTTCCCATTGACGTTAACGACTGCAATTGAATCCAGCGAGCGGGATCGTGAATGTGCACTGCTGAGGAGTTCCACGATAGGACGAAACGGCCGTCCAGTGTTTCCAGGTTTTCAATGGTAGTCTAGCATCAATCGGTTCATGATCTCAATCAAAAACTTAATAATCTCCACAACCCCTATACTGATGATCAATTTCTTATTGACATATGTGTATCCTGTGCGGATTACTTCGATTTTGCCTCAAGTCATAAGCATTATAAACAGAGATGGATGGTGACTAACAGTGGAATCCTTGTGAGGGATTCTGCACAGGATGCACTTATGCCAATAAGAGATTGAACAATTGTAGTAGTAAATGTCAATAAGAAGTCTCATACAGCTAATATGAAGTATTTTATATCTTTCTTTGATATTCTGTAGATCAAGCTTGTTGTTTCAATCATTCAATATTTTGACTTGTTTAAAAAAATATTTATCTACGACACAAACATTTCAAATAGTCACTATATTTATCAATAATCCGCCAGTAGTTACATTCAATTTTTCATTGCGAATTTTGCATATTATTAGTGTGTAATAAATAATTAGCAATGCAAATTATGCAACTGAATAGAAATCAGTCATAGGTTCTTTATCAAAAAACAAAGTAGGTTTCAAACAAATAAATAATAATTTATTCTGAAAATCATTACAGAATTCATACCGATTTACAGTCATGATTGGGTTGATACAGAGGGCACGTAAAGGAGAAAGATATATAGCTTAAAATTGTTTTGATAATATATTTGTTGCATAGAATTACAACAATATGCGAGGTCATTTGAGAACCACTGATTTTTTGTAGTGGTACTAGGATATTTTAATGATTTATGAAGTGTATTCAAAGTTAGTTCCAGTATCATTACAGAGTATTATAATTGTCTATAACTAAAAAGACAAGGTAAAGAACACAGAAAATCACCAGCAAACATTAATCTGATAGATTTGCTGTTATGCATATGCTAAGTGGTTTCATGATCTATTGATTGGGTTAAATAGTATTTAAATCAGTTAAATTTACCAAGGATGGTGTAAATGTAAAATGTCTTCATAAAAATGTCTAGTGAGTGCGCTCACTCATAACAGCCATCGAACATTTTTCTCTAGTTTCAATAGTGGGATGGTATATATATATATATATATATATATAATGTGTAAACATATTCAAGGCAGTGTGAGAGGAGAGCTAAAAACTACTACAATAGGCGAATGTTGGTAGTGATTCTGTTTCAAAAACAGGTTTCAGCAAATTATTTCAGGGTATCAAAAATCTACTAGGAAGATAATTCATATAGAAGAAAGATTTAGGATAGAGAAGTTTCACTAATGGTAATGAATTGTGAGTGCTATAACTGGGTGTTTCATCCTGTTGAATTTTAATGCTGGACGTAAAGGATAGTTTATTAAGCATTTTGAAGAAAAAATTAAATGTAGTGTAAGACTCTTCTTCTATTAAATGGTCGAGTCTTAGTTTGTTTGGTCTGGATATATGGTCTAATTCACAGTCATTTCCAAAAATGCGAAGTATGAGTCGTCGCTGAAAAGATCCCAGACATTTTATTCCTTATACAAACACTACTGGGAATAAAATTACAATAAACATATACTTTGTACATTAAAATACTTAAATCATTGTTATAAAAGTAACGGAGTATGCAACCTAGAAGTCAAGAGGACTTCAGAGTTCGTTTGACGACGTTTTCTCAGAAGGACAATGTATGGGAATGCGTGAGTACTAAGTCAATCACTTCATGAAACCTACATAATACCTTACCATTTATAGACAAGTTTGGACTGAAAAAAATATAGCCAAAACAAATCCATTTTAGTGGTCTGTTGTGTTCACCTGTGGTGGCGGGCTCACCAATTTAGTGGCCCGAGATCTGACTCCAATTTGATCGTAATGATTGGCTGCTATCGTCTATCCTCGTATATAATCATTGACTTAAATCGCGTTAGTTAATAACGGAATTAAATTAGTCAAATAACGAGAATGGAGTTTTGAATGCATATATTTCGTATAATTGTTGATTAGACAAACGAACGGAGGAACGATGCGAAGATTAGAAAGCGAAGCTAAATTGGCGCGCGGTGGAGATGGCTGGTAAGCCAACTCCCTCTTAACAAAGAATTAATCAATATTTATAAGCCCACAAAAATAAATTACAGATATGTGATGAGTAACGGGATAAGAAGTGTACATACGCCTACGCGCTCATACAAAGACAGTCAAGATATTGATAAGCGAATAATTAACAAGATCAGAATGTGACTCAAATAGAATGAATAGAATGGGCTGTCCGAAAGTTAGAATAATAAGGTATTTGGGCATAACATAATCACAGACACTACACCATTTTTATATAGTAGTGTTAAGCTCTAAATTCCATTTTGAACAGCACTTACTTACTTACTTACTTACGCCTGTTACTCCCAATGGAGCATATGCCGCCGACCAGCATTCTCCAACCCACTCTGTCCTGGGCCTTCTTTTCAAGTTCCATCCAATTCTTGTTCATTTTTCTCATATCTATCTCCATTTCTCGGCGTAATGTATTCTTTGGTCTTCCTCTCTTCCTTCGACCTTGAGGATTCCATATGAGGGCTTGTCTTGTGACGCAGTTGGGTGTTTTCCTCAATGTGTGTCCTATCCACTTCCAGCGCTTCTTCCTGATTTCTTCCTCCACTGGGATCTGATTTGTTCTCTCCCACAGTAGGTTGTTGCTAATAGTGTCCGGCCAACGGATCCGAAGTATTTTGCGTAGACAACTGTTAATAAACACCTGTATCTTTTGGACGATGGATTTCGTAGTTTTCCAGGTTTCCGCCCCATACAGTAGAACTGTCTTGACATTTGTATTGAAAATTCTGACTTTGGTGTTGGTTGCTAATTGTTTTGAGTTCCAGATATTCTTCAGTTGTAGATATGCTGCTCTTGCTTTGCCAATCCGTGCCTTCACATCTGCATCAGATCCACCGTGTTCATCGATGATACTGCCCAAATATGTAAAGGTTTTTACATCTTCCAAAGCTTCTCCGTCAATTGTGATTGGATTGGTACATGCTGTGTTGTATCGAAGAATCTTGCTTTTCCCTTTGTGTATATTGAGACCTATTGCTGCTGAGGCTGCAGCTACACTGGTTGTCTTCTCCTGCATTTGTTGTTGTGTGTGCGATAGAAGAGCCAGATCATCTGCGAAGTCTAGATCATCCAACTGCATCCTAGCTATCCACTGTATCCCGTGCTTCCCTTCAGATGTTGATGTCTTCATGATCCAGTCGATCACCAGGAGAAAGAGAAAGGGTGAGAGTAAACAACCTTGTCTGACACCGGTCTTTACTTCGAACGACTTTGTCAACTGTCCTCCATGAACGATCTTGCAGTTTAATCCATCATAGGAATTCTGTATGATATTGACTATCTTCTGAGGCACGCCGTAGTGTCGAAGAAGCTTCCATAGGGTTGTTCTGTCCACGCTATCAAATGCTTTTTCGTAGTCGATGAAGTTGATATAGAGTGATGAATTCCATTCAATTGATTGTTCCACAATGATTCGTAGAGTTGCGATTTGGTCTGTGCACGACCTATCCTTACGGAATCCTGCCTGTTGGTCTCGAAGTTGGGCGTCTACGGAGTCCTTCATCCTGTTTAACAATACCCTGTTGAAGACTTTTCCCGGTATTGAAAGAAGAGTGATTCCCCTGTAGTTGTCACAGTTGCTGAGATCGCCTTTCTTTGGTATTTTGACTAGAAGTCCTTCTTTCCAGTCTTTTGGTACCTGTTCCTCATCCCAGATCTTTCTGAAGAGAGTTTGAACAGCACTAGGCTACCTAATTAAGTTGTATAATGATACAGTTTTTTATGTGGTTTAGTTGATGAAGAGGAAATAAAAGCACTACTTTAAGATCGTCTGCATCTACGAGAGACTTGTCCATTCAAAATCGGTTGCAGAAGTCATTTATACAAGCTAAAAAGAGTAAAGGACCTAAGATAATGTCTTTCATAATTCCATTTGTGACCAAGGTGGTATCCGATAAGGAGTTTGTTTTAATTATTTGGTGACGATAACTGAAAAAAAAGTTAAACCAAGCAAGCAGGCAATTTCTAATCCCTTAAGATGTGATTTGTCTATAGGAGTCTGCTAGTTAATCATAACGAAAGTTCCAGAAATGTCAAAGTGTGGAACCAAAACTAGATGTTCTGAACTATTCTGCATTCCTTTACTTTTGAATTTTCATATTATTTCATGCTTTTAATACTGCAAATTCATTCGTTTCGTTAAAATAAATTTTCTCTGCTCACTAGTGACTAGCTTTATGAGGGAATTCTCGGAGTTCTAGTGAGAAGTCATGACCAGTGGAGCTAATCCGTATCGAGTAGAGATAGGTATCTACCTCAGTACAATGAAAGATATTCGCTCAATTTCGCGGATTGGTTGAGGTTAGACATTAACACCGTTGGATGCCGACTCATTGGTTTAGAGCTTAAGCGTTCGCTCGCGAGTAAGATCGTGCATGCTCACAGCTGAGGAGTCTCACAATAGGACGAAACGGCCGTCCAATGCTTCCAGGTTTTCAATGGTAGTTTAACATCAATCGGTTCATGATCTCAATAAAAAAGTTTTCTGTTTAGTTTAATATTATTGTATATAAAGTTATTCAAACTCATTGGGGCTTTCCTTGTTGATGGGAAGAGTAAAAATTTAGGTCGATCCGTATTTCTATCGTGCCTTATGAGATTCATAACTAATTTTTATAAATTTATATACTTTCATCATTCTTATTATTTCAGCCTATTGAAGTACGATTCATTGAATATATGCCATTTTCTGGTAACCAATGGGAACTATCAAAATTATTCTCATATAAACAAATGTTAAACATTATACGAAATTCTTATCCAAATTTAATTTGTTTAAATGAAAACTCATTTGATGTAACAAAAGTAAGCATAATATAAAATACTTTTGTTTTACATATAGAACTATTTTAATAATATAACCCTCATTTAGTTCTAGTTAGTAAGTGGACAGTCTCAAGGTCACTTTATTATTTCCTCTGTACATTTAATATTTCATGGCATATATTGTTATAATGAACCAAAGATTCATGTGTTAATATATTAAACACAAATCATTACACACAATAAAAATATACAAGATATTACTTAAATTGTCAGAAATTGACGTATTTAAGTTTCTTTTGATCTGGTAATCGACAATCACACTTAGTGTTACCCCCCCCCCAATAGAGCATAGGCCGCCAACCGGTATTCTCCGCCTGGAGTCCCTCTGGGGCTACTGACGGTCTCAATCCCGGTGAAAGGAAGAGGGTTGGGCATGGTAATAGTCGCCCCATCCTGTAGAAAACTAACTTGCTAAAAAAACGTTAATCAGAAAAAATAATTCAATGCACAATTATAAGTACTTAATAATTCCAATTATAATTGTTATAGTTCGAGATGTATATCCAGATAAAGTAAACGTAGATAGCAGATATATTAATGTTCTGTTATCATAACAGCAGGTAATTGAGAACAAGAAGCATATGTGTATAGCAGTGCATTTTTGAGCGATAATCAGTGTGTCATGCTATGGGGGATTGAAAAACGAAACGGAAAAGGCTATGCAAACGATGAATATCTGAAACTCTACGCCTCCTATAAACAAACTAAGTGGTTGACTTAGTCAACGTGCAATTCAAATGATATAATCTCTAATATGACACATTCAGCGAAGCCAGTATGCAGCGATATGGACATAGTCAGTTCGTATTATCTTATTGGTACTTTGTCCTCGTGTCAACTCTAGTCACTGATTTATTTGGCAGATCATTCTATTATGATTATAATAATTACCATATTCTTATTATCACAATAATGTCATATCACCACCTAACGTGGAATTATTATTGCTGTTCGTGTTGATATTAAATCATGACATTTACGCAGTTATATTACTCACCCATAAAATTATAATTTTATTAACATTCTATTCTCGCATTTGACTTATTTAATTCCTTTATTTAATAACTTGAGTTAAGTCGATGATTATATACGAGGGTAGCCGGGATGTATATTTGAATAAAAATCATTCATACGGTCGGCTAGACTATAATTTATGACCGAACTGATGAGATTTAGGATAACAGGTGTTGGATTTGGGTGTGAGATTCATCCATCCACTTGGTTAAATAGTGTTTTGGCATTTTAGCTGATATCAGTTCATGATGAAAACCCTAAATCTCGTTCCTAACCTTAATCATCAACTATAATTCATAAGCTCACTTCTATTTGAAGTGAACTTTGATAATGCTGTCCAGAATGAAGATGAACGCTTCACTATTAAATAATCCAGCTTTGAAAACTCAATATCACCCAAAGGTATGTGTTATCGAAATGATCTAAAATATGGGGTGATATTCACTGGATTGTAATTTCATAAAAGTCAGCTCAAGTAAACTATCTAGTTCAAAAGATTTAACTTCATTGAAGGTTTTCACCATAACTAGAAATCTTCTCCATCACTACCAATAGCGTTGGACATAGACTGTACAGAGTACCATATTATTATGTAAAAAGATGTCATCATGATTATGAGTCGTAGATCTTATGTTCCCTACTCAAACCATTTTTTACATCCCACGAGTAAATGATCTTTAAAATCAGAATTTATAATTATGCTGGATGATGAAGTGAGTAGAAGACATAGAAGACATTAAGAACAATTCATTATCGTTTTTACCTATTAATAGTTCAACGAGAACCATATTGATACGTTATTAGGTATAAAAACATTGCATTCATTATAGTTTACTATATGAATATTATATTCAATCGTAACAGTTTAATTATCAAATAATAGTTTTTATTAGTAAGATTTAAACTTACCAAAGGAGAGCTAAGAATCACCATAAGACTTTTCAAACCGAAAAACGGTAACATAAATTGGTCTACGTCCTATACTTAACTACTTCATTGGATAAGAAAGTCTGTCATGTAAGCTTTAATGATTTACTGAACTAGAATATCGGATAGTGATATAAAGTATACAATTATATGTTAATGTTTACTGGTGAAATATGAAAAAACATATTTTTAATATAATGACCTACTTACTGATAGTTGAGTTCAGTAATAGAAAACAATTTCCTTGTTAATATTCTCTAATTTATTTCTTAATATTTTCATTTTTCTAAAGCTTTATCAAGTATCAGGATGGTTAGGTAAAATTGGTTTCATCACCTCAATGACTGAGAATTTTTGTGCTGGATGTTCACGTTTGCGTATTACAGCTGATGGAAACCTTAAAATTTGTTTACATGATAATTATGAAGTGAGTTTAGTGAAAATATTACGCAACAAAATGAATTCACATGTAATTGATGAATGGTTTGCTGAAAAGCCTAACTATAACTTAAAACAATCTACGCAATTAAATGAAATCTATGATCAACTTGATCAAATTGTCGATCAAGCTTTAACTAAAAAGTCTGCTAGTCACAAAGGTAAATATAGTTTTAAACAATAACCTAATAGTTGAAATCATGAGTCAATTGAAGCTAGATCACCATGGAAAACCTGGAAGCACTGGACTGCCGTTTTGTCCTAGCATGAGACTACTCAGAGGTGCGCATATACGGTCCCACCTCCCACGAGACTCGAACCCAGGACTTATCAGTCTCGCGCGTGAGAGGTTAATCATTAGACTACTTAGTCGGCATCCAACAGTGTTAATGTCTAACTCCAACCAATCCACGAAATTGCGCGACCGTCCACCATTGTCTTCAGTGAGTTAATATATCACAACAGACCTGGTTGAACTCCACTGGTAACGGCTTCTCACTAGAACTCCAGGAAATGCCTCTTGAAGTCAGTCACTAGTGAGATGATTATTATCAGAAGGGGTTTTGTGGGGCGCTCGTACGCGAGTCTGATAGGTCCTGGGTTCGAGTTCAGTGCAGGTGGGATCGTTGATGCACACCGTTGAGGAGTCCGATACTAGGACGGAACGGCCGTTCAGTGTTTCCAAGTTTTCCATGGTGATCTAGCTTCAATTGACTCATGATTTCAACCACTGAAGTTACTAAAATCTCTACAAAACCCCTTCTGATAATAAACCAATACGTAATTTTATTTCCATTTATAAACGTTTCACTACAAATTTGGACAATACTTTCAGAGTCGGTTCGTTTTTTATTCTGCTAATAATAAAAACTAGAAGACAGCGATAAATTTAATTACGACACACGATTTAGTTAATTAAATTATTCTGTAATTCTTTTGAATGGATATCTTGTCATCCACCAAATAAGTAAACTACTATGAGAAATGTAAAGCAGATCTCTATAGTCTGAACTGCAAACACTCTGACTGCCGTATTTCATTATATGATAATATTTAAATAAAGTACATGTTCAAATGTTGTTTGTTTTCTGGTAAAAACCTTGTTTTGAAAATGTGAAGTTAAGATAATCAAATGAAAACGTTATGAAAGGTAAAATGATTTGTGACGGAAACTTCACTAAACATCTCAAATCATTTAAGACATGTTAAGTTATAGAATGCAATTAGGTGATTTTCTTCGCTTATGCTAGACAGCTTAAAATCAACTAGACGATTTGGAGTACGCGGATAACTTAGCCCTTCAATCCCATACACGTCAACATATGCTGATGAAGACAAATAGTGCAGAATTAAGCCTCAACATACAACAAAAGAAAAAGGAAGATCCAGAAATACAACACAGATAACACCAAACAAATCACACTTGATGGAGAAACTCTGGACGATGTAGAATCCTTCATATGTCTGGGAAGCATCATCGATGAACAAGGAGTGTCGGATTCGGATGTAAAGCAAGAGCTGCATTCCTACATTGAATAACATATGGAACTGAAAAAAACTGTCAACCAATATCAAAGTCACAATCTTTAATACCAACATCAAGACAGTCATAATGTACGGAGTTGAAACGTAGAGAACTATTACAACCATTATCAAAGAAGATACAAGTATTTATAAATTGTTGTCTACGTACGATACTGAACATCCATTGACCGGATACCATCAGTAACCAGATTCCATCTGAAGAGGAAATTAGGGAAAGACGTTGCAATTGGATAGGACATACATTACGGAAACCACCAAACTGTATCATGAGACAAGCCCTAACTTGGAATGCTGAAGGGAAGCGTAAAAATGAGGAGGATCAAAGAACACACATTACGTCGGAGATTGAAAGAAGACATGAAAAGAATGAATAAGAAGTGTAAAGAACTTGAAATGATTGTTCAGAACAGGGTTGAATGGAGAATGCTGGTGTGTGGCCTATGCTCCTCCACAAGGAGTAACAGGCGTAAACATCTTGTCATATTAATATAGTTTAACAACTCGAATCAAATCCTATTAATCCCCCTGCTATACATTAATTCAAACTTGATATTTGCTTAATTAACATAAAGTAATCTGATATTTTACTAAATTAACCTCTACATTAAAAAGTTAATTCTTCTTTTTTCCCTTCATAGAACTAGAATGCCATTTGGATTTATTTTAAAGTTGAATAAACCATTTTTACTAAGTTAACTGTAATTTACTGATTTAATGACTATTTCATTCTATTATAGTTTTTTCTTTACTTATTTAATTTATTTGTAAAATTGGTTATTTCTTCTATTCTATGTTAAATGAACTATAGGTGCTATTCAACTTGCATCAAGTGTAAATCGTTCAATGGTTCAGATCGGCGGTTAAACAAATTTCAATAATCCTATCATTCATATATGAATTTTGAATCAGTATAGAATAACTTATTATGTAAATGTATATATATAAATATATATTTATTGAATAATTATACATTTTTATTTTTGATATTGTATGTTTTCTGTAAAACTGTATGTATGTGTTGTTACTTAAGAATGATATAAGTGAACGGTAGACTTGGTGTAGTGAAGCCATATCTTGATAGGAACTTATAAATCAATGGATCATCTATTTCAGCTGTGTAGACAAATGTGAATTTATTGGATAGAACATTTTAAATATTTGAAGTTCTGAGTTGGAAATTATTTATTTCAATGTTTAAGATCATTAGTCAATTAAAGCCAGGCCACCATGGAGGACCTGGAAGCACTGGACGGCCGTTTCGTCCTATTGTGGGACTCCTCAGCAGTGCTCATCCACGACCTCGCCCCCTGAGAGATTCGAACCCAGGACTTACTGGTTTCGCGCGCCAGCACTTAACTACTAGACCACTGAGCCGGGATCCAACGGTGTTAATGCCTAACTTCAACTAATCCACGAAATTGAGCGGCACATCCACCATTGTCTTCAGTGAGTTACTATCTCACAACAGACCTGGTTGAACTCCACTTGTCACTACTTCTCACTAGAACTCCAGGATATACCTCTTGAAGCCAGTCACTAGCGAGCATATGTTGATTATTATCAGAAGGGGTTTTGTGGAGATGGTAGTAATTACAATGATTAAGATCATGAGTCGTTATTTATTTATCAACTGAATTAGATGTAATTTTTATAAGTTGCACGTTTCATCGATATTTAATGTTGAGTCAGTATATGAGTAGGGTATGAGATAACCATCCATTTAGTCATAGACTAGGACTCATGTTGATACGATTTAGATTGGTTTAACTACTTAGAAATACAAATCATATTATAGATATTATTTGATTTAACTTCCCAAAGTATTTAATCTTTTTCCTTAGTTCAATTGACTTGACAAAATACAATATTTATTAAATTCATCTTGTATTGTTTGTTTAAATCATCCCATTGATATTTAAGACTGCGACTGATCAGTCTTTTATTGGCATATGTGTATCCAGTGCGAATTGTCTCGAGATTCCCTTAAGTCACAAGCGTTATAAGCAAAGATGGATGGTGGCTAGCTGTGGAATCAGACAATATTGTGACAATCTTCACAGGATGCACATATGCCAATAAGAGACTGATCAATCACAGTCCTAAACATCAATAGGAAGATTCAAACAAATAATACAAAATGTATTTAAACTTCACCCCATTGCACAAGCAAGTGGCTATTAGTATTCAGTAGCTAAGTGGATAACTCGATGAAGTTTGAAGGGAACAGCACTAGGTTCAAGTTCCAGGGTGAACATCAACTCTGGGATGCAGGCATATCCAGCTAATTAGTACAAGATTGGACGAAACGCGCGTCCTGGACTACTATGCTAGCCATCACTCATCTTTACTTACTATAATTATCATTTATCATGTTTGTACGAGCGAAATTATAACTTTTGGTTACTTATATCATTTTATCATGTTCTTATTTTAATTGTTTCATTTACTAATTAATTTCTGATGATGTTCGACTATGTTAAACTTAATCATCCATTTCGACGTGAATTGAATAAATCTGTATGATGAATAATGGTCATCAGAACTCACTAAAAGACTAACTGTCCATTTTAAAAATAGAGATAAAATGTAGATAATTTGCAATCAACTGATTGATAAATAATGACCAATATTAAATTTGTTTAGTCGTTTAGTGATGATCAAATTCCAGTGTGGCTACTAGTCTAGGTGAATCGACAGGGTGTGAACTATTCGGAGATATTGGTTGGTTGGAAGCTATCAATTGGAGACCTTGGACCTAGGATTCGTGCATTTGACACTCGTCAACAAGGTTTAGGTGTGATTTTGAGGGAACTGATGTTTTCTGTTAAAGGTGAACCCACATCACCTAGCTTCACAGTTAGAAACGCTACTATTATTCTGTTCAGGCAACGACTGACCTCATGTAGGACTCAGACATTCACAATTAATTAATCATTGAGTAATCACCAGTATCATGCTTATTTAGCCCTTTTTTGTCGGAGATTGAAAGAAGACATGAAAAGAATGAATAAGAAGTGTAAAGAACTTGAAATGATTGTTCAGAACAGGGTTGAATGGAGAATGCTGGTGTGTGGCCTATGCTCCTCCACAAGGAGTAACAGGCGTAAACATCTTGTCATATTAATATAGTTTAACAACTCGAATCAAATCCTATTAATCCCCCTGCTATACACTAATTCATAACTAAATAAATCATTGTTTTGTTTCAATTGATAATTCATCTAATCATCGTTATTATTTGGATTATCAGAATTAGACAATGAATAATATTAAATTATAATAGATGATGAATTTATCACAATTTTTTATGAAACTAAACAAAAAATAAAAAACAAAAAAGGCAAATGAATTAAATGTATCAATAATACAATAATGATTATTTATTCACAAATAGTGATGCCGGGGGTGGTAGGTGGTTGCAAACTATAAAAAATTGAAAAGAACATTTATTCATTTGCAAAGTTAAATGTTAATTCTTTCTTTTTTGTATGTGTATGTTTTGTTTTGAATAATGAATACTACTTTAATAAATAAAATACTTTAATCTTGTATATTGGTTATAGAGCAGATGAATCATATACAGATTATAGTGAATGATTCATGAGGAAACATATTCATAATGAAATTCAAACGAAAGTAGATCTCAGAATAGTAATATTTCTCATGGTTACTTACTTACTTACGCCTGTTACTCCTCGTGAAGGAGCATAGGCCGCTTAACATCACTCGCCATCCAATTATGTCCTGAGCAATCCTTTCCAGCTCTTTCCAGTTGTTATTCATCCTTTTCATATCTACTTCTATTTCCCAATGTAATGTGTTCTTTGGCCTTCTTCTTTTCTGCTTCCCTTCAGGATTCCAAGTTACGGCTTGTCTCGTGATGCAGTTTGATAAAATTGTGTGTCCTATCCATATCCATCCTCTTTTCCTAATTTCCTCTTCTCAAGGTTAGTATAAATATTAAAGAGGAAGAATATATTTGTAGAATCTCAGTGAATGAATTTGAGGTAAATCTGACGTTTCACCTGGCAATCTAGTTCAAGCTTTTTCAAAGAAATATAATCAGACATCAAAATTATCGAAATATAAAATAGGTACATGGTTCTCCGATTCACTGTATCCTGAATAGGTCATTTAAAAAACGTTAACAATATTTAAAGTACGTATTTGCATTATTCTTTAGTGTCTCATATCAACTCGGCACCCAAATACTGCGAAACTATCCTACTAAATTTAGACGAAAGTTCTTATTTGTTACTACAAGCCTTATCACAATAATCATTTTCTTTCTGAAAAGTTTAACAATTGTTTGTCAGTCTAAGTGATTTTAGATCATTTGATATAGTCATGACAACCAAGATGATTTAAGATCTGATAGAGATCTACTTAGTGAATACTTTTTGATAAAGATCCCTTATACTAAGATAAATCATGACCTTTGGTTTAAATATCGACAATGATAGTTATTTATAATTAAAAGTGATGTGATTGACGGATACACTTTAGTATTGCGTTATCAGTGTATTCCAACTCACTGTTCTGTAGGTAACCTTCTTGCAATCAGGTCAGCAAGTTCTAACATCGATAAATAAGAAGTCATAGGTGCTCTATGCTACGAAGTGTTATAATCTAATGAAACGACTGTTAACTGTCACCTGATTTTTAATCTGTGATGATAATCATTTTCAAAACGGAAACTATATCCATTTACATGATTTTTATCAAAGCACTTAGTAGATTCTCATTCAATATTTCTTTATATTTCGAATATGATAATATTTAAAGGACTATTCTTTGTTGTTTCAGAAAATTCAAATCGTTTTTCTTACATAATCATCAATTTTATCACAAAGAACCATAGAAAACTTCGTGCTTTTCTTTTTTAACGCATGAAGATGAGTCATCACACTTTGATCAATTGTTTCAAACGTGCAATTGAACCAAATTTTTCAAACAGTCTAAAGAAATCATCAACACGATCAAGTATAACAACAGAACAACAAAATGCAGTGAGCTAATTTTCTCCTTTAAATTTTTTATTTAATTATAATGAAATAAGTAAAAGAAAATCCCTAATAACAATTAATTATCAGTTGATCATAATAGTTGAATTCATGAGTCATTTGAAGCTAGACTACCATGGAAAACCGGCTCAGTGGTCTAAAAGTTAAGTGTTCGCGCGCGAGACCGGTAGGTTCTGGGTTCGAGTCCCATAGGGCGGGATCGTGGATGCGTCCTACCGAGGAGTCCCATATTAGGACGAAATGGCCGTCCAGTGCTTCCAGGTTTTTCATTGTGGTTTAGTATGAATTCAACTATTAAATTACTACAATCTCCACAAAACCCTCTTCTGATAATTCGGACTTATTTATTTATATGGTTTATGGAAATTATTCCACTGATTGAGATAATATAAATAAGATATAATAATTAAAATAACCCATTATATCATTGAATGAAAATAAAGAGAATTTAATGAAGAAAATTTTCTTTTCGACAAAACCATGTACTTAAGTTGTACATTCGTATTTATAGTTATATGGAAAATATATGTCTATAGAAGAATAGAAAAGATCATAAATTGATTCAAAACTCTTATTATCAAATGAGGTTACGCAATAATCAACAGATAAGGAAGAAATATGAAGGATGAAAATAATTTACTGGTCAGATAATCGTCCAATTGACAGATATGAAGAAAAACGACAAACATAAAAGTCATAATAATATGACTATTTTGTTCTTTGAGCTCAGAGAACAAAACTCTATCAAAATCATCCACCAGAGCTACAAATCTCCACTATCTCACTATAACTATAAATACGAATGTACAACTTAAGTGAATGATTTCATCGAAAAGAAAATTTTCGTCGCTGAACACCTTTATTTCTATTCAATAAGATAGAATGGTTTAACTGACTACAAAATTCGTCGAGGTAAGATAGTGGTTGGAGGTAGTCAGAAGAAAACCCTGGACCTATATTTCGTGCTACTTGGTACTCGTCAGCAAGGTGTACCTATACCTGACTACCTCCAACCACCATCTTATCTCAACATAGTGCACGCAATACCGAGCCACCTAGACTGGTGTCAGGTCGATAGGATTCGGTCTGCACTAAAAAGGATCTGACACACATGAAATTGATCACCACCCAGTGATCAATCAATTGTAAACAAAACTCGTCATTTTATATGTGAATAATCATCAAGTCATATTTTCAGAGATAGAAATAATTAGCAAAGAAACTACAAGCATCATTTAATATAGTTCACCAAATAGCTACGAGATTATGGCATTGAGAACTCATCAATAAGCTGTTCACTAACAATATAATAAATTATGCTATAAGTTAGAGAGTCTACATTTTATCAAGCATATTTCAGTTGTTTTATTATTTATGTGTTAAACAACAGGAAGTAATAACTGAGGTTAAGGATACCCATGTTTAATATATAATTCGACTAGTTATAAAAATAATTTAGCCCTAACAGTCTATACTAATCGATCGAAAGAAAAATAGTAGGTTTTAGCTGGAGAACCTGGACCTCAATTTATTTGCTTGTTAACACTTGCCAGAGAACTGTAGCAACAAACATTAGAAGATTAATGGTACCTATGGACTTTATTCTGTAGTGCTGATCAAAAACAGCAAATTGCCATCAGTCAGACAGTTCACAGATTATCAGATCATTTAGACTAGTAGACATATTTTAGTAAAATCTGATTAGTACCAAAGAATTAGACAAGCAGTATATTGATTACTTCTCAGAGATCACTCAATGTACATATTTGCTATTTCTGATAACAAACATATTTACATTGCCTAGATTCTGATACTCCATCTATACCACTGTATAATCGCCCTATGTTGAACTAATATTCTAAATGCGTATTTATTTTGAAAACCTCTACAGAGATAAGTAAAAGTAGAAAAATTGAGGTCTTTTCGTCTTCTTACAGTGATTTCATAGGATAATTATACGAATGTTTTAGTCTACTTTTTTATGGTTAGCACTTTTTAGCAAGGTTGTTTTCTACGGAATGAAGATTGCTGACCCCATGTTCAACTTTAAACGGGTTATAGCCGGAGTAATGACCGTAAAGTCAAGTAATTACATTTCAGTAAATAGACTTGGACCATGATTTTAGGTACAACACTGCATCAAGGAACGGTAATCATCATGTATAAACTAATTTAACTTGGAGATTGTCTTTTTGTATCGCATAATGTACGAATCATTGCAAGTACACCGGATGAAACGTATTCGTTGCTTTAAAATTGAGTTACGCTTTTGTTTGATAATCAAAAGTATTTCGGTCAAGGTTCCATGTATCTGTAATGCCTCATGAAGAAGAATCTATAATAAGAGCTTGAAAATATCAAGGTTTTTATTTTGATTAGTATACTGTTCACATGGTACTATTTAATCAAGTGAATCCAATTAGTACTGAAAACCAAAAAGAATACCATGTTCACCATTTAGAAAATAAAATCTTGAATCATTTCGAACCTACAAGTACATGGTGATTATTTAATAGGAAACCATTATGAACATTTAGAAAGTTATTGGTTACATGTAACAGGAAATTATTTACATCCAATCAACATTTTCCCATATTTTTTATTTTATACATAGTATGAGATTTATGAAGCTGATAGATAGTTTGAACTCATTTCATTTTAATAATTAAATTCAATCTAACCTATACCATTATTGAAAACCTGAAAGCACTAGATGGTCGTTTCAATTTATTTTTTTTATTTCGAATAATATCAATGATACCCTGGGTTCAAATCCCGCCAGGCAAAGTCGTGGCTGAGCACTTCTGAGGAGTCCCACAATAGGATGAAACGGCCGTCTGGGGCTTTCAGGGTTTCCATGGTGGTCTAGCTTCAACTGAATTATGATTTCAACTATTGAAATTAATAAATAAAAATTTAATTTTGTTAACATTTTAGATTGAAATTTGTGATGTAATAACTCGTTCACCAAAAATGATTGATATTACATCTAAAATTGTAAAACAATTCAATGGAAATAATCATAAACAAAATAGTATTATAACAATTAGATCAGCAAAAGCAGAAGCGTTTATATGTATTGATGATTATATAAAACAATTTATCCATAATCAATACATGATTACAGATAATAATTCAGATAAGATTATTCATGAGAATAATGAAAATAATATTGATGATAATAATCATACAGATGAATTATATGAACTTTTAACACCAAAAGGTGATATATTTACAGTGGCACGTTTAGCTGGAATACAAGCGGCTAAACAAACTTCTAATATCATACCATTATGTCATCAAGTAAGTTATTGAATCAGTTGTTTTAATAAATAATTAAAGTTTTGAATTTGGAGTTGTTTAGAATAAGTAGTTTAGTTTAAAAAAAGAAAGAGAAGAACTAACTTAGAAGATTTAAGCACTTGAAGTTTCTACATAAAGATGTTTGATTATAAGACGATTTATTATATTTTTAGTATAGGGTTGTGGAGATTATTAAATTATTGACTGAAATCATGAAGAGGTTGGTGTTAGACCACCATGGAAAACTTGTAAGCACTGGATAGCCGTCTCGTCCTATTGTGGGATTCCTCAGCAGTGCGTATCCACGATCCAGCTCGCGGGATTCGGACCCAGGGCCTTCAGTCTCGCGTGCGAACGCTCAAGCTACTATTATATTTTGTTAAAGCATGAATAATGAACGTTGGAGAATAACATGGACTCCTCTTAACAGTATTAGTCACCAAAAATAAGATATACATACATACAAACATAGGAAAAGTTCTTAATAATGAAGATTAAATAAAAAGACCAGTAGACATGAAAGAATTTTAAAAGAAAAGTTTATATGTTAAATCTGTCAACCAATACCAAAGTCAGCTTTTTCAATACAAATGTCAAAACAGTTCTACTGTATGGAGCGGAAACTTTGAGAATTGCAAAAGCCATTATCCAGAAGATACAAATGTTTATTAACAGTTGACTACTCAAAATACATCCGATCCGTTGGCCAGACACTATCAGCAACAACCTACTATGGGAAAGAACAAACCAGATCCCAGAGGAGCAAGAAATTAGGAAGCGCTGGAAATGGATAGGATACACATTGAGGAAAGCACCAAACTGCATCAGAAGGCAAGCCCCCAGTTGGAATCCTCAAGGCTAAAGAACACATTACGCCGAGAAATGGAGAATGAAAAACAATTGGACAGAACTAGAAAGGAAGGCTCAGGACAGAGTGAGTTGGATAATGCTGGTCGTTGACCTATGCTCGATTGAGAGTAACAGACGTAAGCAAGTTTATATGTTCAATGATCAGAACATTCATATGCTGAATATTCTAGAAGGAAAACTAACAGCTTAGAAAACATAAAATAAGATTGATCGGACAAAAAGTAAGAAATAATGGTTAATGCTACGAAAAATTACGTTTATTACAATTATAAATGAGGTCACCATGGTAGAGCAAGATTAGTAACTGTGTCTTCTTGGATGTATGACTTTGGCCTACATCATTTAATGAAAACCAATAAAAATAGTAAATCCGGCATCCATTTTATATTGATTATCTTGAAACACTTTGAGACGTCGAAATCACGTCCATTGTCAACCAAATGGTGTGCAATCACACTGCTAAAAATATGCAGTCCTTATAGTCTGAACTTTTGTGGAAGAGATGAGGTCACTAACCCTCCTTTCTACACGTCTAATGCATATGCTTTGGCTCTTACATATAAACTAGTAGATACTGTGTGAGTTGGATTGACTATTTCGTACTGATTTATTTGAAAGCCTGACTTCTGATGAGTGTTTACCACGTTTTTCCGATGTAAGGAATAAATATATTGCAAGTCGAATTTGTTTCCGACAACACTGATGCGTATTGATATAATGAGCGAAATGACGTTGATTGAGATTAATGGATGTGGCAGTAAGTGAAAAATTAGCTTTATCTAATCGCTAAAACCCATCTTGTGAATGATAGAGAACCTATCGTACATTTCAAATACACTTTTTGATCTTCGTAATAGGGAGTTAAGTGAACTACGTTGATTTTGAAACAAATATTAATGAATCTAGTAGTGTATTCTATGTATGTTGAAAGTATTCGTTTTACGAGATTGTTCTGATGGTAGACTATTAACCAGATAAGATTCTCTCAGTGAACTCATAAAGATGAGCATTAATGCAGATAGTCAGTAAACCTTCTTTGAAGTAGATAAGAGTATTATGATAAATCGGAGATGTGTAAATAAAATTCTTTTCACTTTAGTGATATGATTAAGCCTAACGGTCATGTCATAATTGATTGGCGAATAATTGACAAATGACTTTCTTCCAATCGCCTATAATATTTTATCATGTTCAGTGTTCATATTTTTTATGTAAGCATGTCATTTTATTACATGAAAAACCATTCACCCGGTTGGTCTTCTCTTGATATCTAATCATTCGGAAGCCAAGGTCAATCATACAGCCTCGTGATTAACCATTACTCAGTCAAATTATATCACTGAGTTTATCTATTAGTTCGTATTACATCCATCCACTTTAACAAAATTTCGCCTCACGCGAAAATGCACTCCATAACAGTAGCGATGGGGATGCGACCAATTTTCATCAACTTTTTGTGTAGTTGATATGAATTCAAAATAATTTAGATTTCTTTTTTCTTTGCACCGAAATCCCCGTCTCCAATTGATACGTTCGTAAACCGTACCAATAATTCGCGACTCCAACTTCCATACAATGATCTTGAGTGCTGTTAGACACATGAGGGCGGTATATCACTTCCCGGTTGCCCACACGGTAGAAGGGTTCTTTTAGAGGTACCTGAAAAGGAAGTCGGGTTAAAGGTGACGTTAGTGACCTGAGAGCTTGACTGCAGTGCCTAAGGGACAACTGCTTGAGGCTGGTCACACACGACCTTTTTGTTAGTTTTCGTGTTAACTCCGTGCCTTTTGGGACCTTACCGTCGGAGACAGCTACCCGTGGGATAAGGCGAGGTATGCATTTTTCGGGTCGACCTTTTCTAACTCGACTCTTTCTTGTGGGAAGGCTTCATTGCTGTTTTTTTTGCTGTTTGAGAGAAACACCTAAATGCCGTCACGCATTTACCGGAGCATGAAGAATGAGAGGATAGACTAGTTCCGCTCACGGTATTAAAATCAGTCGCGAATTATTTGCAGACTGCATGAACGTATCACTCGGACACTTAGTTTATAAGTATAATTTCTCTGTCAAGCATGCTATGTGCAGTGTGAATGGATTGAACATATCTTTTGTGGTTGGAAGAATAAATAGATTGTCTGACTACAAAGTCATAAGAATCTTGATAGTTATAGATACAACTAAAGGAATAAACTGAGATTTACACATGAGTATTTTCGTCATTGAAGCTAATCACTTATCTTTAAAATAAACCACTAATAAAGGATATGGATTGACACAGGATGAATTCGACTGTCTTAAGATTTTTTAAAACAGAATTCGAAGAAATTATCAGGACAGTAATTGTACTAAATATACTTATTGCATGCTATCTCATGTATACTGCTTTTATTCTCTATTCTAGGTGTCCTTATCACATATTTCAGTCAATATTGGTTACAGACTAGGTAAAATTCATATACAATCACAAGTAAAAGCAGTCGGTCAGTCTACCGGTGTAGAAATGGAAGCATTAACAGCTGTTTCTGTTGCTGCATTAACAGTTTATGATATGCTAAAACCGTTGCAAAAAGGACCAATCATTATTGAAAAAATTGAACTATTAGAAAAACTTGGAGGATCGAAAGGTTCCTACTTAAAATTGGGTGCGTCAAAGTAAAGAAAAGAATCTAATTATCCAGCTTTGCTTAGAATTCGATTGTGTTTACACTATTTGGCAGACTTTTATTTCTTTATTACGATATGTTGTCGAAATAGTGCAACTGTTAAGAGCATTTTTCGAGTTTGTTTCACAGGCAATATGAATGGGAAGAGACATCTGACTATAGATGAAGCATCATTAATTATGGCCTGTAGTTAGACAACTAACTTAACTGGAAAATGGTTAAGTATCGAGTCCAATGTTTAAAAACAAACAATGGCAAGTTTTTAAGGGCTTCTTTCGTGAAGGATATTGGGTTCTAAAGCAGATCTAGGGAGTCTTATCCTGTACCATTGTCGAAAATAAAATTTTAATGAGATGTATTGAATTACCCTGTACTCTTCTGGTTCCCGTGAGAAAGACTTGTTTCACAATGGTGTACATAGAACCAATGATTTAGTGGTTAGTGAACTCGTTATAGCATACGGTGCGCATACATCTATCAGACTGTGATCATTCGTAAAACTTGTCATCTGAGATTAAATAAATCCCGACTAACAATAGTACAACTTAGAAATAATGAGTCACAGGATCATGGTTTGTCATTAAAAGAATAAACCATATAAGATATGTGGCACTAAGGCTTTTCATATAGATCAAAATACAGTATTATTTTAATAAATACCAATGTACTGAGAGATCTACGCCTTGATGTGGTCCAGATGTCACTGCTGAGATTTTCTATATTAGAAGAATTATGTGAAGCAAAACTATCCAGACTCTGATATTAATTATTCTTATCATGTGTTTGCTGGAGACATCCGTTGTGTAAAAACAGGTAAGCACACCGAGAAGATTAGAAGAGTTGTAGCATTTTATCTGCACTTAAGATCAACTAAACATCAACCAAGTGATCAGAACATCGAACAACTATAACTGTTATTATTAAAACCATAGCTGATGCAGACCATTGATGGGAAGTTATTTCGAATTTAAAAGAACAAGAAAACCATTCAAACTCATTTCCTTAAATTATTCAGAAGACCATTTCATGACTTGCTTGGAGTACCGCTACACATACCGTCGTACAGAAACTTGTGACATGCTTTATGTTAGTAATAGCTGTCTGTCTACGCATACCGTAAATTATTGGAAAATAAAAACATTTGAGACAGATGCTTTTTGTTTGTATTACTGTTAAACTAGGAGGAAAAAGATAAATACTGCACGATTTCGCCCAGTGTGGTGTATTATATTTCATAATGTAACATGCTTTTTTAGCATTCTTACTCAGTTAGAGGAACAACTACTAATCGTCAAGCAAATAAAATATCCTTCTCAACTTAAAGGATAAAATCGAGCGTGGTTGTAGATTAGTGTTAAATTTTAAGCCCAAAGATCTACCCAGTTTCTTCGAGTTTATTGTTTCTTCTGAGCATTGGTTTGATGCTGACTCAGGTCGACTGAATTGTCACTTGGTCTTTAGATGTGGATATTTTTTCTATTTGACAGACCTCATTTACTAAATTTGATGCGACATTGTTGACAATAAACATGAAGGATTTATATTTTTTTATTCAATCGATAAGTGGATATTTATTACCACCACATAGATTTGTCAAAGCACATTTAACAAACAATCAAAAACAGGAATTAATTGTAAATTATCATCATACATTTATTTATTTTTCCATATGTAAACATGCCTGAGAATAATTGTGGGAATGAAAATAGAATGTTTTATTACAAAGTAGTCTTGATCTCACAAATAGTTCAGTTGACTCTAATATACATTATATACAATGGTTATGAAGTTAAAGTATTTAGTACATCACTATGCAGTTAACAGTGAATATAGAAAAGCTTATTTTGGTTTAACTCCGAAAAAAACTGTCGGAGAAGCATACCATCGTAGTTCAGATGGTGATTCATACAAAACTTTGTTTAATTCTTTAGGATTATAAGAATCTATAGAATCAGGAACAATTTTCAATACATGAACAGGACAAGTCCGAGGTAAACGAAATTGCAATCGAGGTAAAAACCATGAAGATGAAAAATCTTTTGATGTACATATATATATGTAAGTACGTGTAGGAGTAGAACACTTAAAAACATTATCAAAAAACGGAACCTGTACAAGAGATTCGAAAAATTCTCTGAAAGAAACAATATCTGTTTTATCAGCATTTGTAGTTTTAGGATAGAAATCATTGATATCTATGAGAAATGCTCGTTTCGGACTACTTGGTAGACCACCAATCATAATCAGAAAATAAAAAATAGATTCGGATTTCGATGATAACAGATTAGATTCAACCTCATGAATTGATTGTAAAAGTTTTACTTCCTTTGAGTCTAAATTATCCTGCTGGTATGTAGAAAATAATAATAGCCAGTAAGGGATTGTGAAGAATGTTGAATTTCATTGAATTCATAAACCAATGAATGTTAGACCATCATCGGGGATTTAGAAGCATTTGGAGGCTGTTTCGTCCCAGTATGGGTCTACTCAGCAGTGCGCATTCATGACACAGCACGCGGGATTCGAACCCAGTACCGACCTCACATCTAGACATCTGAGACGGCAACAGACAATGTTAATGTCTAATTCTAACGAATTCACAATATTGCGCGACTACCTTTCATTGTTTTCAGTAGGTTACTGCCTAATATTCGACACGATTGAACTCCACTGGTCACGGCTTTTCACTAGAACTCCGAACATTGCCTCTCAAAGTTAGTCACTAGTAAGCCCAGTGCTTCCAGTTTTTCAATAGTCGCCTAACATTGGTCGGTTCATGATTTCAATGAAATAAATAGTTGATCAACGAAAAGTTAACATACCAATTTTAATTCAATGTCCGATTCATTTTGAAGAGGATTTAAGAGTGATAAATCTGGAAATTGACCAGTAAAATATATAAACAGTTTCATAATTCTACAAATTAGGTTACACCGTTCATCAAATGAAAAATGATTAACTCCAACAGGTAAACAACAGAAGTCCATTTATCGTTAATAGTAGGATTGAATTAAGTTATGTTCTAAACACATGACAATCTAAAAAGTATTAAAAAAATAACGTACCACACTAAGTAAACTTTCAAAGAATACGAACACAAGATATGTAGTAAACTATGAAGTTATTAAAACATGATCACTGCAATGGTTTTGAAAGCTTCTAAATGAACAGTGCCAACTGTCATTCCACAGTGGCTTTGCATACTAAATTATGAGCGACAAATAAGGTGTATAAACGCCAGTCGTTGTATGTTTCGCAGAGAAATACAGACCATAACTTCACACAAATCGAATGATTTATGTGGCGCATATTTATTTGGTACCTCCTAGTGCCAATGTTTTTGTGTTTAAATAAATAAATAAATAAATAAATAAATAAATAAATAAATAAATAAAGGCACTCGAACAAATGATTGAATTTTGAAAGCATGCTAATAAAAGTTGTACCACCTGTTCAAGATTGATAAAAACGCGAACAGCCTATTATCCTGAATGTAAGGGGTTGGTAGAAGTGACGAATATAATTTTCGAAGAATAATTGAAAACGTTTATTGAGACTGTTATGTTTGAAGAGATGAGTTCACCTAAACCTGCGGACACAATGACCAAATAAGCTAACTGTTCCGATGCACTCCAGCCACGCTAACTACAGAGAGACGCCTAGGTTCAGTAGACAAAATGTATTTCACAAGCACAAACAACAAATACAAGCACATTTTAGGCGTATAAATAAAGCAAAAAATTGCTTGGGAAACTTTAAAAAATAGCACACTTAAGGTCCTCCCAAGTGGGAAATATGACATGAAGGTCGAGGGGAAGGTGAGAATGATCGCTTTTGGCGCAAAAAAAACAAGAAATTCAATTATCCGAAATAAAATCACATAAATGAGGCATGTAACAGAGACAGGCATCAAAATGGAATACATTACTACCACATTGTTTGTTGGTATGCAGTAGAAGCAGACATGTTTTTGTAGCACATACATTACACTTCTTGTGGACAGGGAAGAAAATGTACTTCCTCAGCGATGCAACTGTTGAAAACTAATGGTATGATCCTTTAGCGGTTTCCAAGATGGGACACGAGACAATGAGTTGTCGTCTCAAAACCACTTTTTCGATATTCGAACGCCATGCAGGTGAGTTATTTGTACTGTCCGAAACTTTGGTTACTGTATTTGTTCAGTCTCACTTAAGTTAATTGTCTCTTTTAGAATAATAATTTAAAGCTTGATAAGATTGCTAAAAGGCGGGCTCAAGCCGCCAGAGACTTGAGGTTCCTGGGCTGTCCTAGATCAACTTATTACAGAAGGTTGCGGAAGCTAAGAGATGAATTCATAAAAAAGTATCAGTTAACCAGCAGTGACGAAGAGGACGACATTTCAGTTGTCGTCACAGAAGTAGGTACCACGGTAGCTACAGAGCAGTGTAACAATATTGTCTCAGAAACAGCCACTGCTTCATGTAGTTATGTCCAGTGTTCTGGCAGTACAGCCGATGGTAGTGTAGCTTTATTAATTAACAATGTATAGGTGGTGTTGTTTCGGAAATGTCTCTACCCATTCATCTTTTAATGAAAGAACAGGTCGACAGAATTGTCATGGGGATGATGAAAGGGGTGATATAACCATGAAAAAGGCTGACGAAATTCTGGACCTCTTTCGCGTGCGCATTCCTGAACTCCCAACGTCCGTCTGAAGTGTTCTACGTCGATGCAACGACGTGGAGCCTAAAATTCTGGGGATGGGGATTTACTACCGTTTGGGATTGAAATCAAGTCTGCTGAGGATTTCCAAAACTTGGCTACGTAAAATCCGTTTTACAGAAATGAAGCTGCAGTTGAACTACGATGGCCTAACCTTGTTCAAAAGCTCTAACCAACAGCTGTGGCAGATACTTGGTCGCATAACCAGTCCATTAGTTAGTAACGTATTCATAATTGGGATCTATGGTGGTGAAGTGAAACCGTCTGATTTCAACATGTCAGCAGCACT